TTGCACTGCTTGGCGCGCTGTGCCTCACCAACGCGGCGGGCTATCTCTTGCCGGGCGACGGCTGGGTGCGGGCACACGCGGTGATCGTGCTGCTGCTGCTGTGCGTGCTGCTTGCGGTCACGACGTACAACCTGGCGCTCTGGTATGTGGAAAGTCGGAACTGGCGTCACCTGCGCGAGGGGCAGAAGGTCATGGACACCAGCTCGACCGGCAACCATCGCACGGAGAAGGAAAAGAACAACGGCGACGAGGCCGTTTCCCCGGTGGGGTCGGCCGCGTGAGACCTGCGCGTGTGCCAAAGTGGTGTATGCGGGGAGAGAGGCAAGCGGGCGCCGCGGAAATGCGTGGGCGGTACGCCGTCAGCGCACCCAGTAATGCTCGCAGCTGCCTCGCGGAGGTCATAATAGCAGAGACCCGCAAATAAACAATAACTAGGAAATGTGTATATATATGTGTATATATGTGCGTATGTGAGTCTGTGAGTGTGTTTGTCTAGGAAGAGGAGAATCAAGTAGCGATATTTTTACACTGTAGGGGACAGAGAAGTGTTTATACTCATTATAGTTTTACTTCTACCGGTATGTCGCTGGGGGGAGGGGGCGTATCAAGGGATTTGATGGGCGAGGTGGATGCCTGTTTTGTTGTTGCTTTTATATTTTATATGGCTGGGAAAAACAGTGCGTATTTGATTGCAGTGCCTTTCCACTTTTGAACTTTCTTGCCGTTTCCTCTCACTTCCTTTTTTTGCTTTGCTTGTGTGTATGATTAGAGCGGGTGACTGCGGCGCCTCACGAGTCGCCAAGACAGTAAGCGAGGAAGTTGGAGAGAGAAGCGAGGGCTGTAGTGTAGCAGGCGGGTGAAGCCAACATAACCACAAGGAGGTAAATAAAAAAATAATAATAATAATTGAGGTGGTGCTTGTGCGTCAATGCGTCGAGGGACGCGTATGGGTGGCGTTTCAACAACGTCGTCGTTTTTGTCACTTATGACGGCCTCGTGTTGCGGTGCAATGGGGCACCGTTTCTACACATCAACCGACGCTTCCTCCCACTTTCCAGCAGCGGCGGAACATACGGCGGGTAACGGGCATGACTCAAAGACGCATGTATCGTTGCTATACAAGTCTACTCACAGGGGTAGCGGCAAGGCGGAACTACCGGCAAGGCAGAGCGGTGGCAACAAACAGGTGGCAACAAATCTCGCCGCCGCCGCCGCCACTGCCTCACTTACTGCTTCTGCAGCTGGGGCTCGGGACGAGGCGCCGGTGCGACGGGAAAATTTTGCACGTTCTTTTTCGTCGTGTGCGGAGGACGCAGGAGCGGTGTCCAGCCGTCTGCTCTCCCCGCTGCAGCGGCGGCAGCTGCTCTTTAAGCACAAGGCGGCCTTCACACTCACCCCGCAGGCACTCCGTCGTGTCAAGTATCTGCTGAAGCAGGCGAAGATGCAGCCAGCCCCCAATGGGATTCGTATCGGTGTGCGACGCCGTGGTTGCAGTGGGTATAGCTACACAGTTAACTACTGCTACCCAGAGGAGGAGGAACCGGCGTTGGCAAAGCAGTCAGACACACAGAGGAGCAGTGGTGTGGTGGGTGAGAACTCCGGCGCAAACGGGGCGCGGAAGGGGGATGTGGTGGTGGAGCAGGACGGTGTGAAGGTAGTGGTCGACGGCAACGCTCTTTTCTACGTCATCGGGACGGAGATGGATTACGTCGTGCGGAACGTGGAGGAGAAGTTTACCTTCCGCAACCCAAACCAGAAGTACTCGTGCGGCTGTGAGGATAGTTTCATGCCGTTTGACGTTGCTGAGCAGGAAACAAGCTAAGAGGAAGAACATTTTTTAAAGAAGCGAAGAGGAGTTAAAAGGAAGAGACGGTTGTGGGGATGTTGTTTGCATCCCTTTTTCTCCTCCTCTGCTCGAATGCAGCGGGTGGAGGAAGCCTCATCCACGCTGCTACTGCATTGCTGTGCCTGCACGAGGAGGCAGTAACGTAGTTTTTACGTGTGTGGTAGCAGTGAGGCGTGGCGGCGGCGTAAACCTGCCCAATTGCGCGGCAGCGTCGTTAGCCGCGGTGGGTGGGGCCGCAGTTGCGTGTTGCACGCCCCACTGTATGCCCACTGCTGCCGAGAATGTCCATCGATTCGCATCACCGCCCAGCGCGCTCCCCACACATTCGCTGTCTTTAACCCCCCCCCTCCCTTGTCCCCAGGTATTCACGCGTGTGCACGCAAATAAGGCGCGTATGCCATAGACGCTGCGACTCCTTGGGCACACAACCAGATAAACAACTAAGGGTATTTATGTATAATATGTATACATATATATATTTCTAGTTGCAGTCGCTCTAGTGTTTTTTTAAAATTTTGTGTTGCTTAGTGTGTGCGTCTGCGTGTGTGATTGTGTGGAGAGGGGCGGGTGGGAAATCGTTTTGCATCTCCTTTCACTGCTTAACCTCCCCGTCTTTAAGTATTTTTATTGCTTGTGTTCTCGCTTTTTTGATTGGTTTGGGTTTTGCCTGTGGCAGCAATATCCCTGCGGGGGTGGGGGCAAGCGGGGCTCTCACTTTAGCTGCTTGCGTGCAACTAGGAGACCCCACCGATGGTGTTTTTTATCCGTGTTGCGGCAAATGTGCGGGGCGGCAACCGCAACATTCGCCTGCGGTTCGCCTCGCACCCGACGCTGCGGGAGGTGGCCAGTGCGGCGGAGGTGTACTTTGCGGCAGCCACCCTGCAGCCGTTGCCATCCTTCGAGCTGGATGCGCTGGTGCTCTTTGACGAGTATGCCTTTGCGTGGGTGGAGCTTTACAGCGCCGCGCAGCTGTCCACTGACTGCCAGCTCTACGCCTTCGTGAAACGTGAGAGGGGCCCCCAGATGCATGACGGGCCGCAGCAACGACCTCGCATGAGGCAGTGGAGGATTGTGTGTGGCGGCGGTGAGGTTCTCCCGCCACCCGCCGCAACCATGGCGTGCCCTGCCCCACTACCTGCGTGCACATCGCCCGTGTTTGCCGCGCTGGACGAGAGGGACGACAGGGTGCCAAACTGCACAGGCGCGGGTGGCACGACCGACGAGATGGACACCAGCCGCTCGCGCTGCTCCGTGTTTACCACGGGCCCTGAACGTACGGACCGCTCTGACTACTTAGCGACGAGTACGCCGTGGTGCGGCGACAGACTCCGCAGCGTTTTTAACATCCTCGACGCCCAGGAGAAGGGGTACTTGCTCTTTGTGGATCTAAAGCGTGCGGTGGATGCGCAGCGCAGCGTGTTTGTGAACTACTCCGCAAAGGCGCTCCTCGCACTGGCTGACCAGGACGGGGATGGACGCGTGTCCTACAAGGAGTGGGTGAGTTTTGCCGTCTCACACCCGACGGTGGTGGACACATTGTTTGACGCCGTTGCCCTCGTCTCGAGGCAAGACCGGCAAGGGAAGAACTGTGAACATGCATCACAGCCGAACATGACCTCGGTGGAGGTTTGCCGTTTTTCAGCGGAGGCGTACAATCGGTCACGAGCGATACTAACACACGAGGAGGCGCGACTGGCGGCGGACGCGGTGAGGCTAAACGCCCTGCGAGACGCATGGGGAAAACAAAAACAAAAACGGACGAGGAGTAAAAGGTAGGGGCTCTGCGGCGGAGGACACCCATCAACGCAGACGCGTGTACTCTGTCCCATTGTGCTGATACGGTGCGTTATATCATGCATCTATGGCGCGCAAACTTCTCACTCTCTGTGTCTCAGGCAGAAAGCGCGCGGGAAGCGGCAGCGTTATTTGGTTGTACACTCATTTGCCACGTAGGAAGGGATGTGTGTGGTATGCACGCTTTCTTTTCTTGCAGACGTGGTGTGTGAAGAGGATACATTGAGGCTTTTTTGTTTTGTTTCTTGCTAGGCAAAGAATAACAAAAACAAAAAACAAGAGAAATTTAATGTTTTCCGCACCGAAGTGCACGTTACACACATATATGTATCTACTTTCCCTCTACACCTTTGGTACAGCGAGGCATGTCCCAACGGATTTCATCCTACACGGTGGGACAGCGGCCTCGACGGCAGTACATTAACAAGGCGACGGAGTTTTTCTTTCGCGAGCTAGATAAGGGGTTGGCCTCGCCTTACGTCGTGCTGTCAACCGGGGTGTTGCTGGCCCTGGTTGGGTGGAAGATGATGGTGTACTACGTGGAGCCCAACCGGCAGCAAAACGCGGTCTGGCGGCTACCACAGTTGCGTATGCAGCTGAGTGACGCCCACAACGTCTTCTGGGTCGTTGACAATGGAGGGAACGCCTGGAACGGCGTCCCCACCGGCGCCACCTTGCGGAGACAATGACGAAGAACGTGGAGGAGGCGTTGCGGCGGCCCATGCTTGTGTACAGCAAGGACAGCGAGGTTTGCGGTACACGCGGGGAGGACCTCAGCGTGGCAGGCGTGCAGCTGCCAGAGTACGACGCGCAGGTTGGGGATGATGTTGTGTACCGCAGCGTGCATTACATTCAGGGCAGTACACGCGCGAGCCACACGCTCCCCGTGACATCTGCAACAGGAAATGCCGCAGCAACAAGCGCATCAGCGTCCGCAGCAGCGGCGGGGCCAGTAGGCACCGTGGGGAGTCAGACTGCTCCGGGGACGGCGCACACATTGTTAGCGAAGGATGCGGCGGTAGAAGAGGAGGCGTTGTCGTATTTTTCTTGCATGCCAGCACGCGGGGCGTCCGTTATTCATGGCATGGTAAAGTGCAGGGCGGTTACCTCGTTGAACAACTGTGTACCGTACGCCGGGCACATGGAGAGTGAGTGCGCGCGGAAGATGATGCTAGCGCTGGGGCCTGTGCATATTCTGCGTGACGTTGCACAGACCTCCTTTCCACTGCGTTTCACGACCGTGAAAAAGGCACATGTGTCGGCGCTTGTGTGTGGGGCTGCATAGCGGGGAAATTCCCAGGTGGCTGAGCACCTCTTTTCCTAACTGTTACGTGGACGTTGTGGAGCGTGACGGCACCCTAGCACGCATCTGCCGTCGTTTTATGGGCTTTCAGGAGTCCAGCAATCTTCGCCTGTGCATTGCAGACCCCGTCGAGTTTCTCTGCTGCACCGCGGTGCCGGAGGTGGGGCGACGCTACGATCTTGCCATGCTGGACGTCAGCGACGGGGCGGGGCGGGTGAGCACACAGTACGGCCGCCTCGAGTTCATCAACAGCGTGCGCAATAGTCTGACCGGCGCCAGCTGCGCCGTTGCGTCGCTTCCAAACAAAGACGGGGTTTCTTTGTACAACATGGTGCAGAACTGGCGCATGGCCTTTGCGGGGCGCACGGTGCTCCTTGTGCACTGCGCCATCTCGCCGCAGACGCTGCTTATGACGTTTCAGGATTACGCAGCCCGCGGCAAGGCAAACTTTGGGAGTGTCACAAACGTGGAAGAGTTCAAGGACCTGCTGCGCACTAAACTTGTGCACTACGGCACGTGGCGTGCGCCATTTGAGCTCACCAGGGGGGTGTCGGACAAGAACTTCCGCGTGCTGCACCCCAGCACCGTGTAACCCAGTCGCGGCGTATCTGCCGGCAGGTCACCCGCAGTTGCGAGACCTGGCGGCGGCAGCGGCTGACAGCCGCGCCAAGCGTGGCGGCTGGGGGGCGTGGCTCACCCCCTCCCAACGTGCGGATTTGCGTGGGATGAATAAAGGATGATGAGGATGGAGTGCGAACTGGCAAGGAAGAGACACGCCGCAGGGCAGGGGCGGTGAAGGGGCCCGGACGTGGCTGCGTTCTTTCTCTTCCTGTGTGTTGTGTGTCATGTCGGTTGTTGTCCGCACTATTTTGCTTCCTGCATTTGTCTGTGTGTAGAGAAGAAGAGAAGCTGGAGCTTCTGCATCAGCGGACACTCAGAAGCAAGAAGCAAAAAAACAACAACACAAAACCTGACACTGGAGGGGTGGGGAGAGAGAGAGAGAGTAAGAAAAAACTGATAACCAAAACAAAATAAACAAAGTAATAGGCTGGGGAGGTCGACTGAGAAGGACTCCATTCTCCCTCTCATACTGCCGCACTGTCTGGTTTTCTGTGGTCTGTGTGGGTGGCTGAACGGCGGAGGGACGCGCCACAACCACCCCACGAACCAACGCACACACGCACGCACGCACCACTGCTTAGTTGAAGCCTTTTGGCCGGAAGGCGGGCGGGCACAATGTTTGAAGTGACGGTGTTGGCAGTGGCGAAGGTCATCGTTGCCGTCTGCATTGGGGCGGCCACAAGCCGACAGATTCCGAACGCGTCCGTTACGATACGCGACTTTACATTTGTGATTGCCAACATTTTGCTGCCGTGCCTCACGTTTCACAATACTGCCTCCGCCGTGAACGTGGAGGTGCTCATCCGCTGCTCTGTTCTCTTTCTTTTCTCGCTCACAGCCATTGGGACAGGGCTGCTTTGTGGGTTGGTGGCATCGAAGCTGATGTTTCGCGTGAGCCGCACCGGCATCCCAAAGGAGCTGCAGCACTCGCTGCGCTACCTACTCACCTACCGCGACGCTGAGGGAAACAACGTCCACCTGGGGGCGCGACACGGGAGCAACAGAGGCCATCAAACGCCACTGAGGCCAGTGGTGTGCGTCCTGGTGAGTGGGACACTGGAGACGCAAAAAGTAGAGCCAGAGGAGCTGCTGCCGCTGCTTGAACCCCCCGGCGTGGAGTATGAGGAGCAACCCTTCTACCACTACGCCGCGCTGATTGCGTGCGGATTGCAGAACAGTGTGACCCTGCCTCTCTCTCTGCTACAGACAATGGCCGAGTCACTGGCGTGGATTGACCTTGCACTGGGCACCTCTTACATCTTCATCTACAGTTTGGTTGTCAGCATCTCTGTTTGGGGTCTGGGGCCGGCGTTTGTCGATCGTGGAAAAAAGGAAACGGGTAAGCGGCGGATGATACGGGAGCTACTGGAGCTGCATAAGAAACTGCAGCACTGCTGCGATGCTGCCACGCAAACGGAGGTGCACGAGACGCTCTCGCTTTTGGTCTTCCCGGGTGTGATGACAGTGGCTCCCTTGCCTAGCAGCGACTGGCCCGGTGCACTGCAGCCGTCAACGGCTGCGGAATCCGCCGCAAGAAACAACGTCGCCTACGAAGATGGAGTCGACGACGAGGCTGCAGTGTTGACCGTCGTGGCCGCACGCCGCTCTGGGGAGCAGGCAGATGTGCCGCCCCGTCCAGGACGTTGGTTTCTTGCCGCCACACCCGCCACATGCGAGACCTTCCGCTATAACTGGAGGGAGCGTGACTTTGTGCGCGTGGTATATTTGAGTGACTTTAAGGACGAGGTCGAGACGGAGCGGCAAAAGGGCAATGCCCTTGTGGATTTCGGCCGTAGTTGTAAAAAAGTCAGTCTGCGGCTTCTGCAAACGCTCGCCTTCACCTCCGTCGTGGCGGGGTTTATCGTTGCGGTGACCCCGCCGCTACGATGGTTGTTCTTCGAGGGGCCGCTCTCGATGGTCATGGACTCTATCGGTCTTGTGGCGCAGGGCTCGATCCCCTCCTCGTTGCTGCTGCTGGGCACCAACCTGGCGGGGACCTCGCACACAATGACCGCCGCACCGGAGGTGCGGCTTCGCGAGGCGGAGCAAAACACCGCATTCCCGCTAGCTGACGTGTCCGTAGACCCAACGTACGCGGCGGCGTACAACGAGTTACACGAGGCAATTGAGTTTGACGAGCACGCCTCGTTTGCGCTGAAGACTCTTCAGCAGTACGAGCCGGTGGCAGTGCCTATGGCAACCGCGTACGAGGGCCCCGCGGCGGCGACCGCTTCCGTCCCAAGTAGCGGGGTGCTGCGGTCTCTGCGGCGTGCCTGTGCGTTGCATGGTGTCCGGAAAGGTTTCGTTTTTGGCATCACCTTCATTCGGCTGCTGGTGGTGCCTGCGGTGGGGTTCGCCATGGTGCTGCTGACGCAAAAGGCGTTTCCCTCGCTCTTTGGGGAGCAGCGGAGGAACAATGTCCTGCTACTTGTCCTCCTCGGCGAGTTGGCGGCTCCGTCGGCGCTTAACGCCACGATTTTGTTCAACGCGCGGCAGTACATGCCGGGGGCATGGTCAAAGATGCTCTTCTTTCAGTACATAACCTGTGCTCTGACGTTTATGCTGTGGTGCACCCTCGCCCTTTGGGTCGCCACGTAGCGGCCGCTGCACGGGGAAAAGTTGCAGGCTGCGTGCGTGAAAGTAGAAGCAGCAGCGGTGGCGGCGGCAGGGCAGCAGTGAGGTGAGTGGAGAGCAAGTCAGGAGGAAGAAAAAGCAATTAAAAAAAGAGTGAGAAAAGAAAGCGGGACGGAGAATCAGGTAATGATTTGCAAAAGAAAGAACGAAGATGGAGGAGAGACGGAAGAAGGAGAGAACAAAGGAGATGGAAACAGAAGCGAGTGTGAAAGTGGCCAGAGCGAGACGCGTGAGCGGTGTGTGTGTGTGTATACGTGTGTATATATATATATATATAAATATAAACGGGCTTGCGTGCTGAATTAGTGTTTTTTTTTTGCTTTTGTCTTTGAGCGTTGTCTCTTTATTTCCGTCTTTTTGTTCTTTTGTTGTTTTTTGCTCTCTCACTCTCTCACTCTCTCTTCCCCGGCTTGCCACGTTGCCCTGCCCTAACCCTGCCATGTCATGTCATGCGTATAACATCCTGCGCTCGCAAGGAAAGTAGGGGGTGGATATTATTATTTTTTTTTTGTTTTACACCATAAACCACCCAACAGCAACAACAACAACAAAAGTAGGACGAAAACTCAGGGGGAAACGCCAAGCACTGCGAGTCTGTCGGCTGTTTTCCCGGTTTGCATATATACATTGATCTATATACATCTGTATAGTGGTTGCTTGCCAGACCTAGAGCGAGGGCAAGACCCGCACACACGCGCACACATACAAGAAGACATAAAGCTGTGAGTGTGCGTGATTGCAGCGTATTTGTTTTGCTGCATATTGCGGTTAACACTCCGTCTGACGCAGCCGTTTAGCGCGACTAGGCAGTGTGAATAGCTCTGCGTGTGGTGGCAACGGAGGAAGGTGAACCAAGTGAACAAACAAATAGAAGAAAAACAAACAAAAAAAAAGGCACCTGACAAAAGGGTGCCACGCGCACACAGGCGGTGACAACAAAAGAGGCAACTGCGGGATTGCGGTGCACGGACAAGCGTGAATCAACCGCAGAGCGACTTTAACAAAATTGACTGGGGTGAATAGCCCAAAAGCGTAGACGTGAACACCCTTTGTGCCTGACGACGAGATGCTTGAGAAGTACCTGAGCACCATTCTTGTGCCATACTTCTCCCGGTACGCGGAAAACTTTGACGCAAAGCAGCTTCACGTGGACCTCTGGGCTGGCAGGGCGTCGCTGCACGACCTTATCCTGAGACCAAGTCTTCTCGACGCACTGCTGCAGGGGGATAACGGCAGTGATGTCGCCACCGCTGCTACGGCCTCATCGTCAGCTTCCTCCTCCCCCACTTCTCCCACGTCAACGACGGCGGCGGGTGGCCGCCTGCCACTGGCGCTTCAGCGGGGTGTGTGCAAGAAGGTGAACATTGTGGTCCCCTTCACGCAGCTGCGCTCAAAGCCGGTGGTGGTGGAGGTGGACGAGCTGTTCATTTGTGTCCGTGGAGACACGGGAAGCCGTGATGCACTCCTGAGCAAGGTGGCCAAGCTGGACGCCCAGGCGGCCCACAAAGCACGCGAGCTGGAACAGTTTGAGGCAGAGCGCAGACGTCTACGGGATGCAGCGGCGAGAGAAGGCGCCGCCGCCGCCGCGCCTTTTTCTGGCGGTGCAGGGATTATGGCTGGTAGTAGCAGTAACCACATCACTGGGTTGGCTGCTGCAGACAGCGGGGACGGAGGTGGTGGGCAGTTGGCTTCTCTCGCCACGCCCACCGCGACGGAGGAGAAGGGCGGTTACTTCTCACGCCTCGGCGAACTTATCCTCAACAACATTGTCGTGAAGGTTCGGAGCGTGCACGTGCGCTACGAGGACGAGTCGACGCGGTCTGTCATGGGCGTTGTCCTTGGTGGGGTGCAGCTGCTCACCGTCGACAGCACCACCGGGGAGGCGAAGTTTGTCGATCCCTCGGGTCTCACACGCACGCATAAGCGACTGGAGTTCACCGGGATGCAGTTTTACTGCGACGACCCGCTTCGCTATGACTTGGCGCCGCGGGACTACTTCATCTCCAACATGGCGGACCTGTCTGTGTGGCACACAGCGATGCGAGGGCGGGTGGAGGCGGGAGACGTAGAGATGTCTACCGTCGTCGGCCCTGTCGTGGGCCAGGTGGATGTAGATTTGGTCTTCAAGCAGTTCATAAAACACCACCTACACGATCCGTACGTGATGGCGCGCCTTAATTTCGAGTCTGTCACCGCGAAGTTTAACCGCGCGCAGTACGTGTCCCTTATGCGCACTGTCTCGCTGCTGAGCAACTGGACAGGGGTGGTGGAGCTGTTTCCACGCCGGCCTTCCGTGCCCGTCTCACGCAACGCCGCCGTGTGGTGGCGCTACGCTATTCGTGCGGTGCGGGCCATTACGGGGGCACCGCGTCGGGAACGGTTGCTCCAGCGCATCTCGGAGGTCTGCGTCGTCGACTACCACGTCCTCTACCGCGATGTCGTGCGCAAGGCGGAGATGTCGGCCGACAAGCAGCGGGCCTATCGATTCATTACACGTTTTATGACTGTCCCAGACATGATCGCGGGGCGCAAATACGTCTACGCGCGGATTGCCAACGCCATTCAGATGAAGCGGAAGGACCACGAGGCCAAAAAATTAGAGGCACAGTCAAACTTTGCCAAGCAAAACACGGGGTGGTTTGCGTGGCTGCGCCGGGGGCCAAAGAAGCTGCAGGACATAGAGGAGGAGGAGCTTGCCTTTGAGGAACTTGAGCGCTCCTACGGCATTGGCTTGAATGACACGGAGGAGGCAGAGGCCACTGCGGTGGATGCGTCAGCGCTGCCCAAGTCGTACTGCTGGCTTGACGCCCAGTTTGAGCTTCCCAGGTTTGATCTGCAGCTGGGCCTGGAGAAGGTGGGGAGTGTGACACTGGGACTGCGCTGTATGAGGACGCAACTCAAGAAATTCAACGCGGCCAATTCCGTGCAGCTTCGCTTTATCACAGAGAACTTGAGTCTGTCAAACCCGGCGCAGAATACCGCCTTCCTGGCAAAGCTTCCAGCACTCGTGGAGGGTGTTCCTCTCTCGCCTAGTCCTGCAGCTCCGGGAGAGGAAGAGAAGGCGGAGGCTGAACCCGGGCTGCAGTCATCACCGGCAACGTACTTGCTGAAACCGCAGGGGACTCCATTGCTGGAGTGCAGCGTCGCATTTAACCCTGTGGATGCCCAACAGGAAGAGCCGCCGAAAGACACACATGTGGACTTCGCGTTGGATCTTCGTCTGCTGCCGCTGCGCATTGTGGCGGACCCATCGATCATTGACAACATTACTCGCTTTTTTCAATTTCCTCGGGGCCTGGATCTTGCAGCCCTGCTCCAGAGCACCAAGTCCCTCGCCGCTACAGTGGGACAAACAGCCTCCTCCGAGCTGCGTGATGCCATGGCTCGCTCGAAGAGCTTCAGCATTAGCGTGGACGCGGCGGCGCCGTACATTATTGTGCCAAAGACTCTACGAGGCTCCTTGGAGGAGCCGGCACTGGCGGTGTCACTGGGGCACGTCAAGTTTGAATCCCAACCCTTCACCGAGGCGGAGAAGCAGCACCGCTTGTCGACCACAACACTTGACGACGCAAACGAGGAACTGATGTACTACTCCAGTAGCGCCACCTTTTCAGACTTCTACGTGGAGCTTGCCCCGATTGGGAGGACGTTGGAGTGGCCTGGAACAGGCTTCATGCTTGTGCCAGAGGTCGCCTTCACTGCCAATGTCCTGCAACTCATTGACGACGCCACGGAGAGCCGGGAACGATTTATTGTGCGCATGGAGGTGCCGGCACTCTGCATGGCCTGCTCCGTTAGCCAGGCCCAAGTTTTGTTCAGCATGGTGGAGAGTTGGATGCTGTATCCTCAAGCGGGTGATGCGCCGTACTCAAATGAGCAGCTTCCGCTTTTGCTGGAGACGACATCGTCGGTAGGAGATACGGCCTCGCAGTTCACGCTCGGTGGGATGGACGCGCCGTACTTCCTCTCCCACGCCTCCAACACGCTGCTGCGCCCCCGCATGGGTGGAGAACCGGAGACCGACGACACCTCGCTTCCTTTGTTGCCGTTGAAAAAATCAACGGATGACCTCCCCTACGTGCGCCTGCACTTGTGGATCAAGGAACTCGGGATTCTTATCTACGAAGACGATGCAGCGACGCAGCGGCCAATGACGACACCCCGTTTCACAATGGCCTTCAGTACGGCCAAGGTGACGCTGCACATGCGTACGGTGCAGAAGCGCGTCAACATGCTTCTTGAGCACCCGTATTGCCGGGATGCAAAGAACCCAGATCAACTTATTATTAGCGGCACCATGATCCGCTGCGACCTGGAGACGGCACCCGATGCCCCTGTACGTGTCAATGTGGAGCTGGAGCCTTCACTTCGATTTTGCTTTGGCACCCCCTGCATTCAACTTCTTGAGACGCTGATGGACATCGTCAATCTCGTCGCCACGGCCCCAAGTGTTCTACCGGCGGAGGAGAACACCACCTCCTCCACCCACGCACTGCGAGACATCGGGGGTACCAGACTGCCGCTGACGACGACCGCCACCCGCTGCGCGGGCGAGCAGGGTCAGAAGAATAACTTCTTGGAGGAGCTGCACGGCACGCGGGACGCGCAGGTGGCACACATCTCCCTGCACATTGTCGGAGAAGCAGTGGTGGAGCTTATGGACCGGCGCAGAAGGGGGGTGGAACAGAGGCGTGGTGTGTGTGAAGAGGCCGGCAAGGCTGAGAGGGTGGCCAGAGAAGGCGACGAGGAGGAGGAGGAGGATTACGTTTTCGCTCATGCCTGCTTCACGGAGGTGACGCTTTCCCTTAAAAAGAACTCTGTGACGATGGAGGTGAGTGGCGGGATTAAGAAGGTTTCCTTTGCCCTCTCGGAGGCACACCGCGTTGCCGCGGCGAATCGCACCATCGTGCAGTACAAACCCCCGCAGGTGCGTACCACAGTCCCGTCCGTGCTGCAGCAGGAGGGCGCCGCCGCTGGCACGCACCTTGCTCGCCAGGAATCGCACGAGCACATCAACTTTGCCTATCGCACCAGCATCCCGGTGATGCCCATCTTTCAGGCGGACAGCAAGGGCAAGCGACGCCTTGTCAATGCGGCGGAGCTGCGCTTTTCTAGCTTTGTAGAGATTGAGGTCAGCTCCAGTACGGTGCTTCTCGACGCCTGCAGCCTCATGACCGTGATGCGGTACTTCAGCTCCGGTCTTTTCGCCAGAGTGACCCAGCTGGGAAGTCGGCCGCGGTACGACGGCCGCGTCACCGTGGCATCCCCGGTTATGCAGCCACCACTGCTGCTGACAAGCGTGCGGGTGTTCACGCGGGATCTGGACTTTATTCTTCCCATCGACGCCTACGCGACGAGTGATGAGCACTTTCATGTCAGTGTCGACCACGTCGTCGTGCAGAGCAGCCTGCTGTCAGCGGAGAGCAAACAGTCAATGGACATTTCGCTGCGTGCGATTCGGCTACTGCATGCGGCCGCGCGCGAGGCGGCAACCGCGGTAGGGTCGAACGGCGGAGGAGAGCATGTGGAGCCACACATTCTGATGCCAACTACCACGCTTGACATGTCCGTCAAGGCTCCGCTTGACCCACTCTCTGGCGAGCCAGTTTATGTGGACTTGCGCGGCGAGGATGTCACGCTGCAGATAGCGGGGACGGACATTGTCGAGCTTTGCCGCCTCGCAAGCGGCAACCTGGCACGCTTGTCACCACCATCGTCGACGGTGGCCTTCTCTTCTTCTCCCGTGCCGCCATCGCATCTGACCAAGCGGCCCACGGATACTTTTATTGCCGCGACAGCAGCAGTTCCAACGCTGCCTCCACCGTTGCCTGTTGCCCCCACTCATGTCACCAGGGAGGACACGGGTCGCGAGGTGCACGTTGTCTGGCGAGCGAGTAAAGTGTGCGTTAATCTGCTTGATAGGCCAAGCAACCAGGTGCGGTTCCGTCTAGAGGGGAACACGTTTGTGTTTTGCCTGTTTGCCCCCGGAAATGATGTGACACTGCGGTGGAAAAGTCTGGAGCTGCACGACATCTTTGAGGAGACCCACCGTGCCCCGATGCTGCTCTGCGGGGAAAGCCACATTGAGCTGCGCAACATTTTGACCTCCCGCAACATCCTGCAGAAAAACTTTGGCATGCGCAGTAGCGTGATACTGAACGCGGAGCGGTCCACGTGGGAGATGCTGAGCAGCGAGGTGTCAGGCACCGAGGACCCCATAAAGTTGCTTGAGGTTCCAACTTTGGTGGTCGACTTCACACTGAAGCGCTTCGCCGTGTCGGACCAGTGGCTCGCGGTCTATGACTTTGTCTGCAATGAGGCTGTCATGAACGCGCTGCAGCCCGTAACGATGCGAGAAACGTGGGAGGGAAAGGAATTGTCTCCGGCAACCCCCCACTCCTCGCAGTTTGCATTGCCACCGCCCATTGTAAGTGATGCCGCTGCAGCCAATGCTGACGCTTTTGCCGGGACTCGCTTTCACTGCTTGGTAAAAACACGGTGTGTGAATGTGCCGTTTTTGACGACTGCACGCGAAACGTTCATTGAGGCGGAGATCACCTCTTTATTTGTCGACGTGCTGTCACTCGCCCAAACAACCAAGATTGCGGTGCGGATGCAGGACCTCGTGGTGAGTCACGCGGCCTCTGCGGAGCGAATTCTCTACAGAAAGAACGACGCCGCCAACTTGGGCGCCCAGGAGGAAGAGTTCTTGCAGTCCACCACTGACAGCGTCCCACTCGCATCCTATGCTCTTCCCGGGCCCGCGGACGTTGAGGCGCCAGCCAGAGGGGATGACATCTTGTCTCTCTCCGGCACTTTTGACGCGGCAGCGGCGCGGCAGAAGGTCACCATCGCACTTGGGCAGCTCACCGCGCTCTGCTCGATGCCGCTTTTCGTGCCGCTGATGGACTACTGCACCCGACCGGACCAGCCCATTGCAAAGATTTCAAACCTGGGCGTGATGCGTGAGCGGCGCGAGTGGCTGGCGAAGACAGCGAAGCAAATGGTTCAGAATGGTACCTTCTCACTTCATTTACTCTGGCAACAGCCCCGCATTATTCTTGCTGGGGACGCGCAAGAGCTTGCGAACAAGTCCCGCAGCATCGAGGCCCAACTCGGGGTCATGCGCTCGACAGTGCATTTGGACAAACGCAACGGGAGTTGTAAAGCTGCGATGAGGGTGACGGACATTGCTATTCCCGACATGCTTGAGAAGTGCTCGCTGCAGCTGTCGTACGCGCTGAAGAACAAGCGGGAGGAGGTGAATGTTGTCCTGGACAAAGCCAAAGTGCTGTTTCACCGCGAGGAGCTGGAGAAGCTGCTGTGGGTACTGCAACGCAACCTCATGGCACCTACTCCCACCCTCAGTGACACGATCACGCCTTCACTGGCGACGCCACGGGGCGAGCAGGTGGAACTCCCAGGGGGGGCCACGCAGGCGGAGGAAGCAAACTCGCGTACCATTCAGTTCCATGCAGAGGGCATCGTTCTCGCGATTCACGACGTCGTCGGCATCAACGCACAGACCGCTACTCTCAGTGGGCTGGCCGTGGAGGTGGCCTCCACGGGTGAGGTGCAACTCACGCTGGACGCGTTCAGCATGCTGGAGCACTTCACCAACCGCAAGCTGGTGGAGTCTCTCGGGGACAAGGCGATCACGGCCCGCCTATCAAGCACGGAGAACACCATCCACGTCTCCCTAGTAGATATGAAATTTACGCTCATTCCAAAGGCCCTGGGAAACCTCCTTAATGTCGTGCTTTCTGTGCAGTTTCCTCCACCGCTGCAGGACGTGGCCGTGACGGCAACCGCCACCACGGCGGTTCCGACGGAAGCCAAGACGGCAGGTGAGCTCCGCTTGCCCAGCGGCAACAGCGGCAGCAGCACGCCCAGCAAAGGTGCGGCGACGGCTGAGCATTTTTCCACAGTCCTTCTTGCCCGCCGAGTTCTTGTTTCGCTGAACCACTGCTCTACGGCCGCTGTTCTTGGCAGCCGCGACGTCTGCATCGTTGAGGTGAGGGACACCACCGTAGATTGGCGGGCGTACGCTGATGACTCCACTAGGCTTACGGCATCCGTAGGGTGGATCGTTGTCCGGGATCTCTTATCAGCGGATACCCTTTACCCGGTGCTGCTCCGGCCCCTCCTTGCGGAGGAGGAAGAAGCGGGGGAGCCGTCGTCCTCTTCGTCCTCGTCCTCGGCGCGTGTTATTGAGCTTGCATTCACGTCAATGCCGCACAAAGTCAGCACCAACAACAACGGCGGAAACAGCGGCAAGCGGATGGTCACAGCGTGTGGGCACGGCGGCGAGGAAGAGGGCGGCAGGGATGGGCCATCGTACGCGCAGCAGATGCAATGCCAGGTCTCCTCCTTTGCGTTAGTTGTGGTGCCGGAGGTGGTCTCGGCGCTGCTGCAGCTGCTCTCAGACGTCAAGGAGCACATCTCTGACGCCAACCGTGAGAAGGCGTACGACTACATTGCCGACAAGACGGCGCAAAGGGTGCAGGAGCGGCAGGAACTGACGCAAGTGGATCTGCAGCTCCAGCGGCCCTCGGTCACCTTGGTGGATGCGGCCAGCTCCGCCAAGACGATGGTGCTGTTTCCGGGTGATTTTCGTATCTGGAATGAAATTTGCCGCCTCCACTCGGACGACGACGCACCGCAGAGCAATAGCTACGCCGAGATATTCCGCCTGAACATTCACCGAGTGTCGTTTAACGTACTTGGGACGCCTGCTTTTACGCACACGAGTGCGTTTGAAGCGAGTGTCTCACGGGGCATTAGAGCTGCGGCCCCTGCCACGCTAGACTCGGCGGCTCCTGCGCCGGAGACGACCAGCGTCGTAATCACCTTCCCGACACTCTCTGCGCACGTGACGCGGGACCAGCTGGACCATATGATGGACTTTATGGCTGCCATCAGGTACTCGAGCCTGTCCAGCGGCTCCCCTGTGGAGCGACTGTCTCACTCGCCCAACTTGGCGTTGCAGGCGGCAGGCGGCGTGTATCTGGAGTGCGTGCCGAGCGCTCTCAGTGGGGCCACACCGGCGATGCCGGGAAAAAAGAAGCAGATACCTCCCCCATTGTTCCCACAGCAGTTGAGCAGCGCTACGAATGCGTCCCCCATTTCGGCGGACACGCTGGCGTCCACAGTCACCGCCGTTGAAACTGGCGGATCGATCTCTTTCAAGGCAAATATGCAGCGCTTTGAGGCGGACATTGACGGCGTCTTTCACCTCGGCATGGATGATTTGGAGCTCGCGTATGCCGCGAATCCTGCGGGTAGCACCACCACCAGCGTTGCCCTGGGGATGTTTGAGCTGTGGCACTGCGCCCACGGTGTCAGTGGCCTCCATGCAAACCTTCAGTTGTTTCTGATTCGAAAAGCCCAAACAACATCCACAATGATTATCAACACGACGGCCGGGATGCGTCTGTCGGAGTCGAATGCAGACGTCTCTCTGGACTGCATGCGGGTGTCACTAGACCCGATAACGCTGCGAGACACCCGGGAGATGCTCTACGAGCCTTTCTGCACGAAGGTTCTACGAGCGCCACTTTCACCCATCGTTGTTTGCAGGCTAAACACCGACGTGAAAATTCTGGACGCGGACCTGATACTTGACAGCCACCATATTCTTAGCACGGCAGACAAGACGCGGGGCTCCTACAAGCTTGACTTGAATCAGCATAGGTTGTACCTCTCCTCTCCTCCAAGCGCCCAAATGGTCTTGGACGATTACTGCCAGCTAACCATCACGAACGGCTGCGTGGTTGTTCCCGGCATGTATAGCGTGGGTTCGTTTGTCAGTTTTGGCTTTAACGCGACGCTTTTTACGACGGACTCGTGTGTCGTGGAGAAACGCGCACACTGCGAGCGTCACCCTGCACATGGGTTCAAGACATGTAAACGCCGAAGCAAAGGAATCATTGATCTTCACGCGGGGCCTGCGAGCAAAAGTTCCATTGCTTCTCCACTAGCTCCCTCCAAGGTGTTGTCGCCATCGAACGTGGTGCATGCTGCACCCCCACCTATTCCCCTGCAAGCTGTGCTGGGGGACGATGCGCGTACGATTGTGTCACTGCAGTGCAGGGAGCTTACAATTCAACTGGTATCTGAGGAAGTGGAGGAGCTAACGCTCACACTAAACATGGCTGCCTCACTCATGTACTCCCAGAAAACGGAGAATGGCGTGCTAACACAGCGTTCAGGGAGCATGCGCCTTAAGGATGTCCGTACCTCAGCAGAGCAAGAGACCATATTGTTGCCAACAAACTTGCTTTTAAGTGTAGCAGGGACTGACACCATCTGTGTTGCTGGAAGCCTAAGCGGAGTGGAGTTATGTCTGCGCATGGCGTTGCTGCGTTCATTGCTGGAGTTTAGTAATGATGTTATGACAGTTGCTATTGTGGGGCCCACGGTGCAACGTCGCCCACCACACGTGGAGCTTGAGGATGAGAAGCTACACCCCTTGGTGACCTTGCCAGCCGCTGGGGAGTGTTGTTACTGCGGCAACGCCTGCGCTTACTTGGGCGCCCCTACCGATGCCATCGGGGCATACTGCTACCGCTGCTGCACCGGACGCTATGCTTTACCCGCAACGGAGATGAATTTTGAGGTGCAGTTGGTGGACCTGTTGTTTCTGGGCAGCGATGGGGGCATGCTGCAGCTGCACGCGGCGAGCGGCCTTCGGGTGGTTGTGGCGTCCGATCAGGATTTCTATCTGCATGTGAAGCTGCAGATGTTTAACCTAAATCACCACGCGGCCGTCTGGGAGCCGCTGGTGGAGCGCCTCGAGGGGCATCTGAGCGGGAATCTGGCGTCGTCGACGTACAAGATTAAGCTGGATCATGTTGATTATGTCTTCTCGCCCGGCAACATGAAACTTCTTTTGCAGCTCGCGGCAGACTTTTCCCCCACATCAGAGCTCCAGAAGCAGCTCCGCAAGAAGTTCCGACAGGCCGACGGTCAGGCGCCGACGGGGGAAAAGCTGCCGGAGACGCCGACAGGCAAGGCATTGGCGTCCATGCAGGAGGCACCCAACACCCCCTCTGCGGAGTCTTCCTTAGAGGCCGCAGACGACCACATCTGCGCCTTCGTCGTGGTGGTAAACCACTTCAACGAGCCGCTGGAGATTGGTGACAGAACCGTGGAGCCTCGTGGAGGACGACTGGAGTTTCCCTCCACCTCTAGGAATGTGTTTGTGCGTCGCTGTGGCGCCGGGGTGGGTGATGGGGTGACAGTCAACTGCACCAAGTCACCGCTGTGTGTGCGCGGCCATGAGATGCTGGTGGAGGTGCGGGTGAAGCTATCCCGCGGCGAACGGCCCTTCCACCTGCACCGCGCGGTGCACCTTCACTGCTTCCCCGTGCACTCGAGCAACGTGATCATGTGCTTCGAGAACAATAACAGCACCCACGTGGAGGTTATTCGGGGCCTGCCGGCGGTGCGTCCGCAGGAGCGGATGTACTTTCAACCCACCTTCTCACTGGATGAGAAGCTGCACCTGCGCCCTGTGGGCACCTCGGACAGCGAGGAATACACGGCTGCCGTGACGACACGGGAAAACATGGTGCCCACCCTGCGTATGCTGCTGAACGGCTCACGCATCACACTCGTCTGTCACGGGAGCAAAAAAAACAATAAGCACTTCCTCTTTCGGATGCGGGAGGAACAGGAGGAGGCACACGCGGGGATCCCAACCTTCATCATCTCTATTGAACCCCACCTCCGCATTTACAATTACCTTCCCTATGACGTGTTTCTCACCGTTAGCGGGACGGGATCGAGGAAGAAGCAGGTGATCTACTACGCTGTGGTGGGGTCGACGCAGAAGGCGGACGTCGTTCTTGGCGAGGTGGGCATCGACGAGATTGTGCTTAACCTCGAACTGCAGCAATCGCAAGCCTCAGACCCCGGTGACACAGCCCTGACGTACAGGACACGACGCAGCGTATCCTGTACACGTGGCTTGACGCCTGTAACGCTCACGACGGAGTCGAGGGATGCAAAAGAGATGCGTATCACGGTGCAGTGCGTTGGCGCCACCATTTTGCTGGGTACCCCGTACAGCATTGTCAACTTCACTCCATTGGAATTACAGTTGGGGGAATCCAACCGCTTGGGAGAGTTGGTGTCGAAGGTGGCAACTAACTATGGGGTGCTGCCAAAGCTGATGCAAAGTGCGTATGCCGCCTCTCCGAGAGGAGGCGATGCTAAAGAATTTTTTGTGAATGTGCGCACGGGTCACATGCTGGCCTGTAGCGTGCCCCTGCACGTGCAAGGTCGCGGGTTGATTACGCTGATGGACATGTCTGCCGCCGCGGGGCGCAGGGAAAGTTGTACCGTCTACCACCTTGTGTACCTGACGGAGGTGGATATGTATGGCACGCACTTTGTGACAATTGTGCCACGATGGATCCTCATCAACCGCACCCCACAACCACTTTACATTGCGCAGGCGCTGGAAAAGACCTCGTCAACGGCAGCATTCTCAACTTCAACTACGCCCACTACTGCGGGTGCTGGTGGTAGCGGCAGTACGAGTGCTGCGGCGAGGGAATCAGCGATGCCTTCCTTGGCAGGCGCAGCCTCAGCCAGCGAGGGATCCTTGTTTGTATGCAACACAGACATGATGCAGCTGGCACCAGCGAATGCCGCTACACCCTTTTTTTTCAACGCTTTACATGACGCCAGATGTGGGGTATGACGCATTTCTGCTCCAAAATCCATCCGCCCCCGTACGAGGCGATCCGGTAAGTTTGGAGGAACTCAACTGTACTTTGGTGGTGGCTCATGGACTATGTGACATTCCTGGCACGGAGGGTGCTGACATCATGGTGGAGGTCTCTGTAAACACGCAAGGTCCCTACACCTACGTGACTGTGCAGTACCCGGTCGTGCCCCCCTACCTTGTTGTTAACCGTACAGACAGACCACTGGAGCTGTATAACACGCAATGCCGTCTTCTCGCTCAGGTCAGGCCAGGATGTATGCAGCCTTTTATCCCGGATGTGCGTAACAGCAATAGTCGTACACGCGTTTGTTTTGCAACGACACCTGTTGATGATGCACCTTTCGCTCCTGCTTCCACTACTACTGGCACTACGGCTGGGGCTGGGAGCATCGTGGGGGTGGTCGAAAAGGGTGCGGAAAAGACCCCACAAACATTTGTGGAGTTCAATTTCCAACAATCCATGGCGCCTCAGGAGGCTTCCAACCCACTAGGCATTGGATATACACTCAGCCTTGGGCCGTTTGCTCAGCAGATTGTGGAGATTACGTCCACCGCAGCTGGTGTGGAGCGGGCACTGCACACCTACCAGCCATCACCGCCATCTCCACTTGACGTCGTGATGAACCTTGGCCGGTTCACGGTTTCTGTGGTGATGGCTGACAGAGATTTGCTTTTTGGGGCCGTTGTGGACGCGCGTGTGCACTTTAACCGACAGGGCACGAAGGAGGTAGTAGACTTCTCCGTCAAAAATTTTCAGCTGGACAACCAAACCGAGGCCAAACCCATCTTTGAGGTGACGGTGGTCGCTATTCGCAGCTCACCGGAGGTAGCGTGCTTCTCTGGACATGTGGAACGCACCCTCGTGCCTGCCAAGGCAGTTGTTCACTTGGATGAGGTCCGCCTGGACGTTGTTCCTCTGGCGCTGCGTATCTCTGACAATGTGCTTGTCGCCCTTGTGGCCTTCAGGGCACAACTGAGCACGGAGGCACCACTGCGACACGCCTCCCCCACGGCGGAGGAGTTGTTTGACACGGCCCCGCTGAGCGTGGGTGCCATGAACACGCGTGTGATTCTGGAGCGTATGGTGGTGAATCCCCTTGTGGTACGACTCTGGTTCGAGCGGGAGGTGGATGGCCATGACTTTATACGCGAACACATGCAAGTTCGCACCGCCGCACTGGTATCTATGCTGGTTCGCTCCTGTGAGGATGTGCGGATTGCCATGCCTGGTATCGCAGTGCAAAAACGCTCTTCCAGCGCAGACCTGATGCTGAAGTGGATGGCTCAGGCTTACCTTGACGGTATTCGCGAGGAGATTCGTGGACTTCTCTTTCAATACGCCTCGTCCTTGCCGCTGCTCGGCGTGCCCATCAAACTCGTGTCGGGGATTGGTTGTGGGGCCATGAAATTTTTCCAGGAACCTATCGCAGGCCTCTCGACATCCCCCAAGGCTTTTGCTATGGGCTTCGCCAGTGGCTCCTCGGCTCTTGTGACAGAAGTTGTAGGCGGGGGCCTGGGCGCCGTCTCAAACCTTGCGAAGGCGGGAGCAGACCTCATGGGCGTCGCCTCAGGCGGACGACAGCGCAAACGAACGGGTCTTCTGCAAGGCATAGCCAGCGGTGTCACGGGGGTGTTGACAAAGCCGATGGAGGGCGCCGCGGAGTCTGGCGCCACGGGACTTGTGCGTGGAGTTGGCATGGGGCTGCTCGGCGTCGTCGCGAACCCGGTGGCAGGTTTATTGTCGGATGTCTCGAAGGTCACCGGGGCCGTGGCGCAGCTATGCGACGACAGCTACCTCCCGGAGGTTCGTCGCATGCGCAAGCTGCGGGACTTCCACGCGATGGGCGCGGTGGCGGAGTATGGCTCGGTGATTTCCCTCTTTGAGTACGAGCGGGGTGAACACAACGGTGTGCGATGGAAGGGTGACACTTTTATTCCTACCGACGGCCCGCGCTGGTACCCAAGCACGAAGGAGGAGGCCCAACACACGTTTAATTTGCCCGCAGTCGCGTGGAGGCTGGCGTTGTACGACACTAGCTTTGAGGGCTGGCGCTTCTGCGCGAGGTACTACGGAATATACACACGGGAGCAGGCCCCAACGGCGCGGGTGCGGCGACGACGGTGGGTGGCGGTGCTTCGACCACCGCCTACGTCGCGTGTGGCGCGGCTCGTGCAACAGGTGGTCCCCGTCGTGTCCTCCGGTGTGTGTGGTAGTGGCGCTGGAGAGGAGAATAATTCCGGTGGAGATGCGGCGACAACCCCCGCGGCCGCCGCAAAGGTGGCGCCTGAGCATGGCTCTCCCGCCTTGGAGATCGCGGTCCCCGAAGACGCATCAACAACAACAGCAGTGCAGCCGCCGGCGTCGTTTGTCAGTCAAGAGGTGGTGGAGATTTACGAGTACGAGTCCAAGGTGCCGATACTTGGCTGGGGCCACCGCTTTCTTCCGGCAGGCTGCTCGCGGTGGCAGTACCGCGACGGTCGCGTGGCTCCGCGCAAGTCGGAGTTTCAGCTGCGCCAGGGCTGGGTGTGGTCCTCGGCCTGGAAGACCGCCAGCATCGCCGGTGACGAGTGGGAGTACGTGCAGGTGGGGAGCAAATCATCCTCGCCGACGCTGCGACGCCGCTGCTGGCGCCGCACTGCCCGCAGGATGCAGTAAAAGACGAAGGCACCCGAAGAAGAGGAACAAGAGGTAAAAAAACGTGATTTTGTTGTTGTTGTTTATTTTGTTAAGTATTAAAACAAAACAAAAATCACACATGCAAAACGAAGGGTGACTGTGAAGCAATGAGAAAATGAAAGGAAAAAAACGAAAAACAAAACGAATAAACTTCCCTGAGAAACTATGGCGAAGAAAACAACAACAAAAACAGGCAAACGAATGCTTAAGGTGTGAAAATGCGATGAGGAATTGGCACAGGCGGGGCATAAAAGGCGTGAAGTGCGCCCCCCTTTTTTTTCTTTCCTCTTGGCGTGGCGAAAGGGGTGCCGCCCATCCTGCAGCGAAATAGAGAGCGTGGAACGATGACGTGCGACACGATGTCCCACCGCGTACATGTGCCTGGCAGAAGCCACAGTGGGGGGCGGATGTCTGTGTGTGTATTTGATGGGGCGGCGGCGGTGGGTAGGGCGAAGAACGACAAGCGGCAGGGATAAACAATAGGGCAGAACGAGCATGGGGCCGCCTGCCTGCTCAGGGGGGGGGGGAGACAGTGGGGATTCGTTGCGTGAGGGAAGCAGCGGAAAGTTGCCGCAGCACGCCGCGCTTCCCCCTCCCTCCGCGTCTATCCCGTTTTTTGTTTTTTGTCTTGAATATGCCAGGATCCAGCAGTTTATGCCCCGCCTTCTGCATTGCTGTCGCTGCGTGACCTCCTCCACCTCACCTCGCCTCTTCCCCTCTTCCCCTCTTCCCTTCTCTCTTATGTACGTGTACTTTGCGTGCGCCGGACGCAGGAAGGGGAAATTTCCACCCTGCACAAGGTGGGGTTTCCTTTCGTGGTTTCCTTTTTTTTTTTTTTTCGTAAACCAAATTATTTTTCTTCAAGGCGTTGTTTTGCAGTGAAGCCCACGTACTTCCTTCTTTTTTTCCTCTCTCCCTTTTCTCTTTCTCTCTCTATTTTCTTCTCTATTTTTCTTTCTGTGTTTGTGTGTGAGAGATGTGCGGGTGGTCGCTGTTTGTTTTTGTTTTTGCGGCGTGTCGGCGTCATTTACGTGCAGATGTGACGCCCGCCATCCATCAGCCCCCTTTGCTCTGCTGTCCGCACGCACAGATGTCTTCCAGCCCTCTCTGTGCCGCCACGTCGTGCCATAGCACCGCCTATGCCCCTTCTCCTTTTTTCTTCTCTTCTATCTCCGCCTGCACTACACACCCACACCCACACCCGGGGGGTAGGGAAGCCCAAGCCAAGTGAAGGAGGTGCTAGAGTAGAGCCACATAGCGGTGGTAGCGGAAGCAACAACGAAACACGCACACCCAGTGATACCACAACAGGCACCTTGACGTGCGTCGCTGCGCCTTGAGACAGCCGCGAGAACAAAAACTAACAACAAGAACAAAGAAGGTAAAACGAAGAAGCGAGGGGGGGAATTCACACATGCCGGATTCTCCGCAGCAGCCGACGAAGTTGGACGAGCCGAACCGGCAGGCCCCGCCCTCGCCGCACCGTGCACCCGGTTCGCAGGCCGCCCTAGCGAGTAGCCCGGGAGAGGCGCCCATCCTGCAGGGGAAGGGACCGCGTGGGGAGTGAGGAAGGGCGCGCAGGCATGCAGCCGCCCTGCATGCATCCCTAGCGAAGATAGGAGTAGAGTGGGGGGGGGGGGGCGACGGGAGAAGACGTTGTGCGGGGCCTGAACAAAGAAAAAGTCAAAGCAACAACAGAATAACACAATAGCGGGGGGGGGGAGTCAAAAAAAAAAACACACGCTAACATGAATACATAGTGATAAACGGGAGAACTAACCAATCAACCAAACATAAACATGCACAAGGACATGACGCGGAATTCAGGGGAACAACGAAGGGCGGGTGTGTGTGTCATATTCAGGAGCACACATACGGCCGTACGCATTACGGGCATGGACACGGGCGGAATGCTGCTGTGGGGGGATGAGGGGATGGAAGAGAGGACCGCATCAGAAAGAACGAGGGGAGGGGGGAGAAGGAGGAGGCGGTGTGCACACGGACAGTCACGCTTGTGTGCACTGACGCCTCCACGCTATGCAAAAGAGGTTCAAGATGACAGCGAACGGGAGAAGGGTCGACCAGCAGAAGAAGCCCTACTGCCTTCTCCCTCACTTTTTTACTTTTCTTTTTGTTGTTGTTGTTGTCTTTTTTTTTTTGTTGCATGCAAACGCAACCCCCGTTTTGTTTTTTTTTTGATGATTATTTCCACCGGTGGCGTTGGGACGGAAAGATAAAAAAAGTGTAAAGAAAACAAGGGGGAAATGGACAGGAGGTGAAGTTGCGGGGGTCCCCTGCAGCCGCGGAAGGGGCTCTCTCTCTCATACACACACACAACGTGGCGGGTCTTGCATCCCGCACTTATTTCTCCTCCGCCATTTAGGTGACAGCTTCGTCACCGCGGCGGTGGGAGATCCACTTGGCGGCGCCCCTCTAAAGCGACGCTGGGCGCACATGTATGCGCATATGTGTTTATCTATATCTATGTGTATGTGTGTGGGTCGTCCTGCCACATCACGCTGCTCTTTTATATATATATATATGGTTTTGAGGGCGAGCGAGGTAGAGCGGCGTGTGACGCCCTTTCGTTGTTGGTTGTTGTTGCGTGCCTGTGCCTTTTTTTTTTCTTCCTATCCTTTTTTATCTCTCCCTCCGTCTCTGTGCGTGCGTTGTTCTGCTCCTGGAGCGAATCTCCAGTGGGTAACCGGCGGTGTTGTGCGCTCCTTTTTTTTGCTCGCCGTTGTGTTTCCCCTTCACCTCAGCGGTTCCCGATCTTTTTGTTTTTTTACTTGTCACGATTACTGTTGTTGTTTTGTTGGGTTTCTTTCACGTGGTTCTTCGTCGTTGGTAGACCCGCCTCTCTTGTGGTCCGCGGTCTCTCTCTCTCTCTCTCCATCGGTACAATTAGAATACAAATATCCCTCTTTCGTGTGGCGCGCCGCCATTGTTACGCCCCCAGTCTCCCTCGGCGTACAATATATATGTGTCCATGCGTGTATACATGAGTGGGCCATTGTGTGTGTGCGTGTGGCTGTGGACCTCTGCGGTTCTCTCCTCCTCTCCTTTTTTTTGTTCGCTCGCATTGATGCACTGCACCCCATATAATTGCTCACGCACACATGCAAAGAAAAAGAGGAAGCGGAAAAGGAGTCCGGTAATTACTTTCGTTTGAATATTCCTTGTCAAGCAACGTGGAAGGCGGCGAGAGCCTAGGGAACACGCAGGAGCGTCACGATGCCTCTTCCTCTTCCTGCTCCTCATCCTCCTTACAACCCACTATAATACACCATACTTATGCAGTGGAAGAAGAATACATGGAGTGAGGGAGGTTCGGACGCAACTGTCATCGACGGTTCAGACGTGCACATAGGCACATCCGGGGGAAGTAAAGGCCATGGTTGTCTCATACGTCTCGCATTGTCGCCGCGACTAACGGCGAGCGGTGGGGTGAAACATGGCAGGGCGGAGCTTTCCGCGATGGCGTTGCCGTTGCCCATAGCAGAGCTCAAAAAGAACGGCAAGCTTGACTTTAGGTACCCGAGCGGAAAGCGGGCCTGGCGACAGCTGCGGCTTGCCTTTCCCGGCGAGGATGCAGCCCTTGTGGAGGAGCTCGGCGTACTTGTTTTGGCGCCGCGGTACAGCATTGAGAAGGCTGTGGAGTTTCTGTCAAATCAGGAGCATTCCAGGAAGGCGGCGGCCACGAACAGCTTGAAAATGTCACCCACGCGAGGAACGGCGTCAGTTCGCGGAGTCTGACGGGGGAGGCGAAGGGGCCGGGGACGCACGCCGCGGAGGACGAGAGGGGGCGAGAAGGAACGCGGCGGTGAGAGGCGGGAAGGCACCAACGGCCCACCGGCAGGTGTCGTAGCCCCTTACTGCAATGGATCCGCCACAAAGCCGACTTCTGTTCTTGTCTTTCACCCCGTGATGCTGGTGAAGGTGCGGGCAAACGTGTCTGCTCGGCATGTTGGTGGCACCACTCGGCAGTCAGCCGCGAGTGACGGCGTTCACAGCACAATGGCCCCTGCGAGGTGTGTGGTGCAGAATTCTCACCACACTACTTCCTCCCCATTGTTGTTCTCCGCCGCATCAAAGCACTCGGTGACGGCTTCTACTGCCCTCCGCGGGGGAGGGGGGTGCAACAGTGGAGCTCTTTTTGGCCACCGTGGCCGGCGACTGCTGGGTCTGTGGCCACTGCCTTTAGATAAGGACCCTTTTATACCTCAAACGCGTCCAGTACGACTCGGTGAATGCGTCGGATAACCCCGTACTGCAGCACCGCCTGCGTGAGATGTATGCGACATTTACAGGACGGCACATGACGCCGCCAACCCCGACATTTTTTAATTTTTACTTTTGTCTTGTGCTGGGCGACGCTTTGCAGCGGCGGCGGTAACTTTCAAACAAGCAGTCACTTGACTCCGCGGCGTGTTGGCAGCCATCACTCCGGCGAGGTTTGCTGCGTTCCTGCATCTGCGGCTTAGTTGCTGCCCACGCCGTGCAGCTCCACCCTAACTCTTTTTTTGTTTCTTTCTTTTTCCTGCTGGCAGTGGGGCGCACACGCACCTCTACCCACCGACACACACACATAGTATTAATAACAAAGAAGGGGCTGAGGTCATTCCTCACAGTCGGCTCGGCAACCAGATCTATCAACATCCTTCTGAGAATCGTTGTGGGGAGGATAACACTAGCAATTAAAGACGCAAAGAACAGATTTTTTTAAAAAAAAGGGGGCAAAACAAAGCAGAAGAAGTCACACGTCCGTTCGTTATGTCAAAGCTTGCGGAGCTGAAGAAGTACACGGTTGTCGTGGCAGACACCGCAGACTTTTCGCTGCTGGCGAAGTTTGAGCCGGAGGACGCCACAACGAACCCGTCGCTCGTGCTCGCCGGCAGTCAGCTGCCACAGTACGCCAAGCTTCTTGAAGATGCGGTGACGTTTGCGAAGGAGAACGTCGGCCGTCTGCGCGATGGACTGACGCCTGGTGCCGACGAGAAGGCGCACGTGTTGGAGTTGGCCGTCGACAAGCTGACCGTGAGCTTCGGGGTGGAAATTCTCAAGGTCATCCCTGGGCGCGTGAGTACGGAGGTGGACGCGCGGCTTTCGTACGACACGGCGCGAATGGTGGCCAAGGCGAAGCACCTTGTGCGGCTCTACGAGGAATGTGGGTACGCGCGGTCCCGGCTGTACATTAAGCTGGCTTCCACGTGGGAGGGCATCCAGGCGGCCCGCCAGCTTGAGGCGGCGAACATCAACTGCAACCTCACGCTGCTCTTCTCGTTTGGGCAGGCCGTCGCCTGCGCCCAGGCCGGCGTCAGCCTCATCTCTCCATTCGTGGGCCGCATCCTGGACTGGTACAAGACTCACCACCCGGAGCAGGCCGACAGCTACGTGGGCGCGCAGGACCCCGGCGTCATCTCCGTCACCCGCATCTACAACTACTTTAAACAGCACGGCTACAAGACGGTCGTGATGGGCGCCTCCTTCCGCAACACAAAAGAGGTGCTGGAGCTGGCGGGGTGCGACAAGCTAACTATATCCCTCAAACTGCTGGCGGAGCTCGACAGTTCCATCGGCGCTGTCCCACGCAAACTCGACCCGGTGCACCTCACGGAGAAGACGGAGAAGCTGCCGGAGTTCACAGGGCCGGAGTCGCTCTTCGCGGCGGAGCCCAACACGATGGCGAAGGATAAGCTGGAGGAGGGCATCTGCGGCTTTGCGAGGGACACGGAGAAGTTGGAGGCACACATCGCTGCATTGCTGTAGGCGGCAGCCGGAGAAAAATCTCACGATGAATTAAAATACTAAAACTGACAACGGCGGAGCAAATATGTACGCATCTACCAACTACGTGCAGAGCAGAAGTGAGGAAGCAACAAATAGCAGCGCACATACATGTTAAAGGGAAACGAGATGAAACGAAAAAAAAAAGATGGTAATCATAATAATAATTAACCACAAAAACGACTCCCATTCCTTTTTAAGGGAAAATTTGGCGTTGCGCTTGTTTTTGGGTACCACTGTGCGTGGCCATGCCGCGCACATCATTATCACCATTGTTCTCTCTCCCTCACTTTCATTGTCTCTGCCTTTTCTTTCCCCCCTTTTTACTGTTTACAGCCGGCATATCTGCGATGTCGTGGTTTGTAACGGGGGGGAGAGGCACCTGAACCTTCAGTGTTCCCCATCAACCACCGAGCTCATGACGGACACGCGCTGCATGACACCCTCTCATTTGGGCATGTTTTGCGGGGCGAATGTGGCAGGAGATTTGCCGCCCGTACGCAGCATGATGTACCTCTTTGTGCGGGCACGGCGAAAGGCTGGGGTGTGAGGCGGGTGGTGCCGGCGTTGCATCCGCCTTTTTCTTTCGTTCTTTGACACTGTGGGTGTTGCTTTCCCCTTGCCTCTGGAATTCTATCTTCTCTCCCTTCTTCTTTCTTCTTTGCACGCATGTTCAGCTGTGCATCACAATCTTATCCTGGTTGAGAAAAAGAAGAGTAGCAAGCAGCAGAAGGATGCGACACCTATCTGGGTGGCGCCATGGAGTGCAACCCGCTTGTCCTTTTGAGGCCGCATTTGGCACCGCCGTCATGGGTGCTTTCACCGTGGCGACGTGGATGACGCGCACGGTGTCGACAGCGCCACCGCTTTCTTTGCTTTCGTGGTCTGTCGACGGTGCTGGGCATACGCATCGCCGCCGCCGGCGCCGCCTCTCCATGCAGGAGCGCATTCCACTGCTCTGTAGCACAATTAGGGAGGCCGCCCCGGATATTGTCGCGTTGCAGGACTCTTTGCCGGAGGTGGCAGAGGCGCTCTGCTGTCGGTCGACACCCGGAAAAATTAGTGAGCTGCATGGAGAGAACACAGGGCCCGAACTTGCCACAGCTATTGCAGGCGATATCCCACAGTACGAGCAGGTTGGAGCGGTTAGAAACGGTCGCTGTGGATATTTGCAGCTGTTCAGGCGCTGTGACTCGCTTTGGGCCGGGCGTTTGCTTCTCTCGTGTCCGTCGCTCACTGCCGAGTTTGTTTCCACCATTCCGTCCGCCCATGACGCAGCCAGCAGCAAAGCGGCAAAGCTGAACAGCGAGGCTGCGACTACGGCTGTTGTTGGGGGTGGGGTTCGCTTTGTGCTGACGAACGTGGATCTTTCCTACCGCGGCAAGAGCCTGGCGGTGGGGGAAAAGCCGCTTGCGTCGCCCGACGTGAGTGTGAACGGCAGCCCCTTCACGTTGCGTGTGACACCCGGGACGTCGGCGAGTCAACGGGTGAGGGGGCAGTTGGACTCGCACCGCGAGGCGGCGCTGGCGTTCTTCTCACAGGTGGCCCGTCCTGATGTGTTGCTGGGTACTTTTTTTATGGGGCGGGATGAGTCCATGCCGGGCTATGACGACGCGTGGGTGCTTGCGGGAGCCCCGGCTGAGCACGAGCGCACAATAAACACATTTTTCCGCCATAAGCACGACATGGAGACAAACTTTTTTTATTTTATGCCGCCGGAGTTGCACGGGGCGCGGGCAGTTGATGTGTCGGAGGCGTTTCCAGCCGCGGATGCGCCTGTAGGTACGCGGATCCCGCTGAATGCTCGCCGTCGCGTTGACGCCGCGGGTTCACACATTGTGGAGGGGGCCACGAATGCCTTTGAGAGGAAGCGCGGGGAGGGGGATGCCGCAGTGCACCACGCGGAGGTCCAGCAGCTTGCAGGGAGGTTTCAGCGATGTTTTTTTCGCTGCCTTCCATCGCGGCACCACAAGCAGCAGCTACCACTGTGTCGTCGCTACGAACGACGGCAGTTGGTGGTACTGAAGCCCTTCACAGATGTCACCCTGACAGCGGGGGAGGCGGCGGCGCAGGGCCGGGGCGGCGAAAAGGTGCAGGCGCGCTGCTCCGCCGCGGACGGCTACCCCATTTTGGTGCTTTTGTCTTGAGCATAGCACTACCATGGGCGACCATCTTCTCTGCGGGCAGGTGTTTGTGTGTGTTTTTTTTTTTTTGCTGCGCGTGGTTTGCACACAAACACGCTCAGAATGCAACGGAGAAGTACGTAGTAAAGAATAATGAAGAGTGCTTTCTTTTTTGGATTGTTTTTGGCTATTCTTCGTATTGGCTTTGTCCTTTTACTTCGTGTCATCGTGGGAAGGAGGGGCCGCCGGGTTGGGCCGTCGCACCGCCTCTGGCACACGTTCTACACGCCTTTTTTTTCGCCATTTTCCACCTTACACCCCCGTTGCCGTGCTGGGGGGAGGGGCAAGCGGTAAACTTTTTTTTCCGTGTGCTTGCGATTCAAACACGTTTTTTTCTTTTTTTCTTTGGTGGTGGTGGTGGTGGGGTGTTTGTGTGTCCTTCGTGTGGTGCCATCACAGACGCGAGAAGCCACGTTTGAACCGTAATGGTGGAGGCCGATGCGTGGGTCGCCAGGCTGCCTGTACCCCGCGGAAATGCACAGGAGACTGGCGAGACGTCGGTGCCGCTCCCTGCTGACGTTCTTCGTGCCGCGTACCGCCTCGACACACCGTGCCTCTGTCGCCACACTACGGCACGCAACCGCCTCGTGAACTGCGTTGCATCGCCCCGTTGCTTTGCAGGGTTCCGGGACCTTGCAACCAACACCACTGTGCTCAACGAGTGCGTGGCGGACATCATGGGCGAGGGACCCGCGCTGCTGCCAGCGGAGGCTGGCAACCCCGTCGTGGAGGACGCCTCGAACACGTTGGTATGCGCGAAGTTGCTCATGCCACGTCGGGGCATACGAAACCTGGGCAACACGTGCTACCTCAATGCCATCCTGCAGCTCCTCTTTTATATTCCGAGCGTGCGACGCGAGGTGTTATATGCCTGCGCCGAGGCCCCTGCAGTTGTGGTGCCACATTCGTACGAGGTATCCGACGACGCGACGCATCGAACAGATAAAAAAGAAGAGACTGAAACGGAGGAAGAAGGGTCGTGGCCAATGACCCACGTTCTACAGGCATCTGGCTTGGGGGAACTGTTTGCGGAGATGGCTCTCACCTGCGACGCCACTGGGGCCAACGCACAGCACTTTGCCGCCTTTCTCTCTCTGGACACACAAATCCAGCAGGATGCGCAGGAATTCTTTGCTTTGTTGCTCAGTTGGCTACAGCATGAGGGCGGAGAGGCGGTGACGCGGAATTTTGAGGGGACGCTTCTGTATGACCGTCGGTGTGGCAACTGCCAACGCCCTTTTAAGCGGGCAGAGCCTTTTTTTTTTCTCTCACTCCCCGTGAAGAGCTCCGTGGAGGAGGCACTGAGCACTTTTTTGCGATCGGAGGAGGTGGAGGGGTTTATGTGCGATGGGTGCAACCTCACCACCACGGCGTCCTCGCATCAATACCTTCGAACCCTGCCGGAGGTGTTTGTCATGCACCTTAACCGCTTTACGTTTGACACGCAAACACTGCGGAGGGAGAAGATAACACGACCCGTCAGCTTTCCACTTCAGTGGGACCTGGCGGATTACACCAACCGGTGGCGGCAGGATCAGGAGCTGCAGCAACAGGGGAGTGAACTGAGTGACTCTCACATCACCGCAATCGAAGCCTGTGATGCAGCGCACTATGAGCTTATAGGCGTCGTGAATCACATTGGCGACACCGCCGTGTCAGGCCACTACACCTTCCACGGCAAGGTTAACGCGACGGAAGGGTGGTACCTCTTTGACGACGCCGAGGTGGCAAAGCTGCATCATCGGTTTCAAGGCATGCGGGCCTCCTCGAAGGAAGCCTACATGTTGGTCTACCAGCGCCGCCCGTGTGAGATGACGACTGCAGACGCGCGGGCCAACGTTACGCGGCTGTCTGACGAGGTAGTGGGTGAAGAGGTTCCTCCCGTTACGTTGCCGCTGCGCTTGCTAAAGCACGTGCAGTGCCTAAATCATGAATTGGAAGTACGACGGCAAGCGTGGGAGATGCGTCGCGCCGAGGTTGCGGCCTTTCTGCAGCAATGGGGAGAGCTCGCCCGAAAGCTTTTTGGGGGGGGCACAGGTAACACCACCACCTCTGCCACCAAAAAGAAAACGGAGGGTGTGCCAGGCAGCAGTGACTTGGCGGAGTTCTTTGCGTTGCCCTCAAGTTGGCTGTACCTGCTTGGTCGTGGGTTTCTGCCGTCGTACGTGGACGTGCGGCGGCACAACGATGGCGAGAAGCGAAAAAAACGGCTGCGAAACACCCCGGGTAGCCATCTGGGACTCGATGACATTATGGGAGGTGATATCGCAAAGCTGTCATTGTTGCCGAAGACTGAGCTGTGCGAGGACGCAGACGGTGCAGCCTTCACTGCACCGATGGATGACGAAGCCACCGTGCGACGAAGCGGAGGATCTGTAGAAATGGCCATGGAGGGAAACCTCCTGTTTGAGGACTCTCCGCGGGCTCTGCTGTTGTCACACATGGAGGCCCTCCGCTGTCCACACGGCATGTTGGCCCCTTGGAGCCAGTACAAACTTGTGCCCTCCGCGCTATCAGCGGAGTTGGCGTCACTTCTGAACACCATATCTTCGCTCTCCACAGCGTCCCCGAGTGCCAACGAGGCCTCCTCCTCCAGTGTCGGCTGGCGCTTCAGTGACTATGCCTGTGAGGCTTGCACAAGAGCCATGGGGGCAGAGGTGCTGCAGCTGAAGCAGTCATGGGAGGAGGAGAGGGCGGCTTTGGCGTTGTTAAGTGGTACGCAGGTTGCACTGAATACTAGCTCCGGCGGCAACTCCATGGACACGAAGAGCGACCCAGATGTGCGCAGAGAAGACGACAACCAAGAAGAGTCCGCGGTGTATGTGAGCAAAGGTGTGATGGAGTTCTGGGAGGACTCCCGTACGGCGCATGCCATGTGGAAGGAAGTAGTGAGCCGTCAGGGCTTCACCGGACTCGTCGTCGCCGCCTCGCGCATGCCGACGGCGGCGGTCGATCATAGTAATGATAATGACGCTCCCAGACCTTTGTTACCGGAGTGTGGCATACTCCTCTGTGAGCATGGCCTGATAGCGCCATCTGCGGCAGTGCAGGCTGTTCCTGCGGCTGTTTGGCGTTACCTGCGCGAGCGCGTCGTACGGCCGCTCTGCCCCGGCGACGACACCATCGCGTCGCTTGAGCGGCTATTGCCGTATCTTCCAGTGGAGCGGGCCCCCAGGTGCCCCACCTGCATTCAGGGCACCGTCAGCTTGACGACGCAGCGCCATCATGCGAGGATGTCAAAGATTGATGAGGCGAAGCGGTTCCCCACGCTGGCGGCTGCTGCACAAATCCTCTCCATGACGCAGGCGGAGATGCAGGAACAACACCCGAATCGGCTGGTGTGGAAGAGGAACCTCGAACGCCTCTACCGTGACCATCACCGTTCGTGGGAAAAGAAGCAGGCTGCCGCAATTGCCTCTCTCGAGGCGCAGGTTGCGGCACTCACACAAGCGGAAGAGGCGGAGAGGCGGGCTGCGGCGGCATGGGAGGCCAGGTGCATGCGTCGAGGCGGACACAGAAGGCGAGCCAAAGATGCCAGCAGCTCCACCGTCACACAGGGCGCCTCACAGCTAGCCCCGTCCCTCCCTGCGGCTGCTACGCCACTGCAGCAGGCGGAGGAGGCACTCACGGCTGCACGTGCCGCAGTATGCCCGGATTTGTGTCACAACTATGGCTGCATCCCGATGGAGTGGGTGGTGCACTGGCGGCGCTGGTTTATGGACGTGGATGGCGTCCTCGCACCCCCGCCTCGAATGCATCACGAGGCCCTGCGCTGCCCACACGGCGGGACAATACTTCCCTCCCACCTCCTCAACCCGGCGGACCCATTTTGGGAGACGAAGTCTGTTGCCAGGCACCTCGTGCAAATCCTGCGTCAACGTTCCACCGCTACCGCCCGCAATGCGGCTTGCGAAGTCAGTTCGCTGGACGATGACAACTTGTCGTTGCTTCCGCCACTGCTGCTGCTGCCTTTGGCTGAGTTTATAGACGTCCTCGAGACATATGGGGAGTCTGGAATGCTTTTGCCCCCGTCTTCTTCAGGAGACAAGAACACAAATGATCTCCTGTGCAGGGTGAATCCGGGAACGACGACTCTATTTGTGGAGCGAAACACGGACCGTGACTTTGCTCCACCCACCTGCGAAAATTGTGTGGCAGCGCTTCTTGAAGAAATTAAGGAATCCTCACGGTGCTTTTTCAAAGGCTCGCTGAGACTGCAGCTGCGCCTTCGACGCAGTCGGAAGAACTTTTACGAAGCCAGTGACGTGCTTCGAGACCTGCATCACACCACTACTCTGGGAGAGCTCAAGCAGGCCATCTCGCGGCTGGTGGCGGAAAACCATGGCTTTATGCTACCTCTGCAGGAGATGGAGCTTCTCCGCGGGCGCAAGCCACTCCGCATTCAGCGGCCGCACACTGTGGAGAGAAACGGCTCCAACCCACAGTCTTCTGGTGCTGAGAATGCTGCAGCTCCTTTGGTCATTGACGCTAACGTGACGCCGGCGTCGTCGCAGTTCGACGAGGACGATGGTACGCTGTTTGACTACGGTCTCAGATCTGGCGACGCACTGACAGTGAATGCCACAGAACGCGTACTGGCGAAGTTTGCAGATACCGTGCAGGAGCCTGAGGTGTGGGAGGACGTGCCGGCAGAACTGCTCCAACCGGTCCGAGAGAGCGCCACTGCATTTGGTGCGACACGGCTCCACGGCGCTGTCAGCGTCTCCCAACAGCGCGGTGGCACAGCTGCTTCTGTCGCTGCGGAGGCCAAGGCGGAGGTTGCTTGTGACGTCTGCACCTTCCTCAACGTGGCAGGGCGGGTTCGATGTGAGATGTGTGAGACCCCTTTTAAGCGGTAGGCTGTTGCCTGCCACAAAGACAATAAAAGTGAGGAAAACGTAAAGGATGAAAGCAAGAGCAGCAACGACAACGAAGTGAGAATATGTTCTTGTGTTTTTTTTTCTTTGTGACTGTGTGCTGTGTCTTTTGCTTTGCCGCTCCGTCTAGGGGTAAACAGGCTGGTGTGGGCGCCGTGGCTGCCTCTGGGGGGGAATAAACAAACGGGACCGATGACATTCCTGTGGTGAGGTCATTTTGTGTTGTTGCCGTTGTTTTGTGCCTCCTGTGCCGCATGTTCTTTTGCTGTGCGGTGCGCCGTTGTTGTCATTCACTCTCTCCTCCTCTAGACACCCTCCTGGCACGGTGGGCGACGCATCTTCGCTGGTACCCATTCTTCTTTCTATCTGGCGTGCTTGCGGGGTGGGTTGTAGCTAGCGTCGCTCGAGGCGGTAACGTCTGGCTTCAATATATATATATATATCGATAGGGAGAGAAGTGGACGTGATAAAAGAGAGAGGGGGAGGGAGCGGCAGCGTCGTGTCGGGGAACTACCACCATTACAGACTACCTTTTGCCGCCGCTGTGGGCTGTTCGGGAGGGGGGTGGGGTCATTTGCAATTAACCCGGCTGGGAGCACCACGAGGCACACACTATGATGAGGATTCACGGCGCAGCTATGAGATGCGTCCAGCTGCCCGCCCTTGTGGACTGCCACGTGCACTTCCGCGAGCCTGGCCTTGAGGAGAAGGGGGATAGTGCGGAGTGAGGCCGCGGCAGCCCACGCTGGCGGCAGTTGGGGTTGTGGTGTGACATGCCCAACACAAAGCCACCCACGCAGACCATCGCGGCACTCGCG